CACACACACACACACACACCTTTTTGCTTCAGTCTATCCATCCGGGAGTTGAGTTTCAGCGGATCAGCATATGGGAGCAAACCAGATGAATCCCTTTGCATTACTTCTATGCATCACCGACGATGTAAGTGCCGCCCGAGTTACAGTTTTCTTATCTCCCTGGTGTGGACTTGGCTGTTTCTGGTGCTTTTGTCTCCCTTTTGTTTTTTGAAAAATAAGAAACATTTCTTTTTCTTTGAAAAAAAAAAAGCATTCCTCCTTTTCTTTTGGTAAAAAAGAAACCTTTGGAACAAAGGGCTGAACCGCAACAGTATGGATGACTGTCCTGATTCTCTCAAGTCCACCCAATGTCTTTTTGCTTCTTGCAATCTGGACCCCTCCCCAAAGCACAGTAGTAATTTCTTGGGCCAAGAACTTTTTGGAGTCTGAATAACAAGTGATGATAGTCATCCTTAAGATCTGGTCCGATTCCCATCTGGATTCTTTTTAAGGATTCTTTTTAACTTTGAAGTTTTAACAATATGACTGACTCTCTTGACATGGATTCGTTGTCTGCAGGCTGTGCACCTGGTCTATTGCTCTTTCATTGCTTTTTTGTAAAAAATTTTGCTTTTCTGCGAACGGGTGCCATGCATGCATGGCTAAATTCGATACGAGTGCCATGCAATGTCTTCCCGCATAAACTGTTGTATTAACTTGCATGTCTGTTTATTCAACTTTATTGTCAGCAGACCAAACCTGGAATCTTGGAAGCACTTGAGATTTTTCCTCTATGTGTGATGTTGTGAACATCCCCCAGAACTGGAAACGCTTTACAGGTTTTTGTTTTTCGTATACGGGTGCTAAGTGCTTATGATGTACGTTTTCGAAAATTTTAAAATAGTTTTTCTTCTCTGTTCTCTGCTTGGATTTTTGGGGTTTTGGCACTTTTGCAGACCATTATGTCCTCAAAGCACTTCAGGTTTTTGACAGTGGAAGATGTGGGGGATTCAAAACTCATTGCGAAACCGTTGGTGCTGACAAGGCTAGCGCATTTCCTTCTGGATGCCCTTCGGGTAATTTTCCTTTTTGCCTTTCAACTAGCTTCTACGCTTTTTGGTTCTTTCACAAATTGTTCATCGACTCTTGGTTTGCCTTCAGGCTGCAGAAGGAAACAGTTGAGTAATTGTGTATGCTTTGTGAATACGCTTCAGCTCTCGGGTGCCTAGCTCAGTTGATACACCCATGAACTGAGCACCTCAGGTGGACTACGGGTGATGCCTGTGCGACTGGGTACCGTAAAGGTCTACTGGTGCGGGATCCTCTTAGCCATTAACCCTGAGATGAGAGGTGGGATGGTACCTGCACTCTTGAGCTGAAATGTCAACTGCCTATCGTCAATATATATATTGTATATATATTGTCACATAACTATGTAGTATGTAGTATGAACTAAAAGAGCGCAATTTTTGCGAAACAAACGGCAAGAATTAAAAATAAAAATAAAAACAGGACAACCATGAAGGGCACAGTGAAACCATTCATTTTTCTCATTCTTCTTTTGACTCCCCTTTCACTGTGCCTCTCATGTACAAGGCTCGCCACGTTGATGAAGTTGAGCATGAGATGCCCCCATCCTCGTGTGCCATAACAGCCCACTTGTACGCTGTGAGAAAGAGGCAGAGTGAAGGGGGAGGGGATAAACACAGAGAGGAGAGATGGAGAGCAGACAAACAAAGTACGATAAAGGGAAAGTAAGGGCAAGTATGGAGTGTGGCGTGAAGATGAAGGCAAAAGAGGATAAGAAAAGGCTCAAGAATGAGTCTGTCCTTGACGACAGAGAGGACATACATTGTAAGGATGACGCAGATGAACAAATGCAAGACCTAGCTGAGCATTCTCAGTGCAACACTTGCCACGACGGGTGGCATTGAGCATGCCCACCATACACCCCCGACAAATGGCATGTCGATTGCAGGCCAAAATGAAAGAAGAACGGTCACCACAAAAGAGCATGCATTCAGTATAGCGCCCATGGCCGCAAAATGGACATATGGTGTCCGGATGCGGAGGGTGCCTGCAGTCAGGAACGGTGGGACGGTCCTCTGCACACATGGATGCAGAAACCATGTCATTGTAGTGATTGTGACAGAGACGATGGCGGCTACAGCCGAGTGTAACAGTGTTTGTGGTTGTGCAAAGGAGAAGGTCACAGAGTGTTGGTACATTGTTTTGCTGCAGCATGGGGCCAGAGGAATGATCTTCGACATAAAAGAGATTGCAGACAGTTTGTTGTGGCAAGAAAACAGCATCATTTTGTAGGAAATCAGTGACATCAATCATGGCATGGACCATGGTGCCGTTGTCCCACAGTTCCCAGTGGTCAGACGCATGTACAATGGCCATGTAATGGCCAGGGCCGTGCACAATGCAGGCAGAGATGTGGGATGGAGGATGAAACCACTCACCTGCTCGAGCATTGTGTAGTTCAAGTTGACGGTCCCTCATTGCTACTTGCGACAGCAATGGTAAAGCCTCCTTCGCTAGTATAATTATAATCCTCTGGCTGTCGTTGGGGAAGATCAGCATCAAGCTGAAGGGCGATTGCAAGGAAGTCTGATGATGCATAAAACGGGCGATGGAGAATATGAAGACAGATATTAGTTGCTGTCAGACCGCAGAGATTGGTGAGGTTCTCAGGCTGGTTTGTTGAATGCTGGCCAACAATTTGCAGATCACCCAGATAGTGTCGCAAGCCCAAGCTGTGTTGGGTTGTTTGCTGGTCAGTCATTTGCAGAACCCCCATGTGGTCTACGCCTTGTGGGGTCAACTGCAATCCGGGCAGGTCATATATATACATATTGTGAATATATAAAGTAAGTCATTAGGCTAAGCAGGCTCACCATAATAATTATGGCCCATGCCGTTAGCTAACTTAGCACGCAGATATACTGTGATGATATACATATATGTATACATATATATAGTTGTCCTCTTCTCCCTCTCTGCCTACGGTTTACCGGGCAGTTCTATTTGACGATATATATATCGTCAAACAGAGCTATATATATATATACACTACGTGGCCATGGTGTGCCTCTAGTGCCAGCGGCGTGTCTGGAGTGTATTTTTTGGCTGTGACAGACCTTTCTTTGTTTCGTGGGTGTTTTGCTTGCTTGTGATGTGGTGTGAACCGACAGTCTGTAGAGTTTTCCATCTGGTGTGGGTGAGCGATAGTCTGCTTTGATTTTCGTCACAGGTACCTTGAGGGCAGTGGTTGGTGCCCAACTCAGGGTATCAATTGTTGGGCAGTCGTTGATGCTTAACCACAGCCGGGGTTAAGGTGGATGATCACTTACAATGTAATCAGTTAGGGGATTCTGCAGACTGTTGAGGGTTCAGCCTCCTGATGAGTCGGTGAAACTCCAACGAAACAGTTTGTCACACCCCCTCGTTTGTTGTCCTCTTCTTTCTCTCTGCCTACGGTTTATCGCGCAGCTCTGTTCAGCCTCCTGATGAGTCGGTGAAACTCCGACGAAACAGTTTGTCACAGCCTCTCGTTTGTTGTCATCTTCTCCCTCCCTCTCTGCCTCCTACGGTTTACCGTAGGCAGCTCTGTTTGACAATATATATCCGCAGCAAACTAACATATGTCTGTGTGGGACCTCAGAGACTATTTGTGAATCCAAAGGGAGTTATTCAGTCTGTGGGACATATTCATATATGCACTAGCATTCAAGTTTTCCTCCTGTAAGGATGTGCCGATGGTTGTCCTTCGGGACCTCCGTTAAAATTGGAACGATACAGAGAAGATTAGCATAGCCCCTGCGCAAGGATGACACGCATAAATCGAGAAATGGTCCAAATATTACAAATAAGAAAAGAAAAAAAAAAAGAGGATGTGCTGATGGTTATGAAAATGTATGTTTAAAAACTGTGCTTTGCGTATAAGTATATAGTACTTTTTACACTTTATTTCTTTTGACTTGCCAGTGGGAAAAAAAAAAAGGAACTTAAGTTACCGAACTGAAGCTCCCCAGAACGGAGATGGAGCCAGAACTGAAAGTTTCGTGTTTTTTTTTTTTTTTTTTTTTTTTTTTTTT